AAACAATGTGCTTCTGTGTGAAGACAGATAAGATTTGAAAGTTCAGAACAAACAATATGTATATAACTATTCATCTTCCAATCCATCAAGGCCTTCCCAAGGCAGAGAAGTGAGAAGAAAATATACTCATAGCCCATATGTAACCCTCCTTAGCTCTTGTCGGTTCTCAGAAAAATTCCCACAGACACCAAAAATCCTGGTAACTGATTGGGCATGTGTGTGGCTCACCCTTGGCAATGAAATTCCAAAGGTGCCATATGCAGTGACTACTGCACGGCCAAGTCTTCTCCTTCCCCCAGCTCTTGAAGCCCCCTTGGAAAACATACACACACAACACACCTACACAATACAAAATGGCAGCCTCCCTAGGTGTCCACTGAGGGCCTGACTTCCCTTTCTCTCGTTCTTCCCAGCGCTCTTCCTCCCCTGAAATAATACACTCTCCAAAGAAGATGGCTCACTTCAGAAGGAAGGGGAGGACTGAGTCAGTAATAACCAGGTGAGACCCTCACTTGTCAGCTCACCTTCAAATAAGACACAGTGGGGAGAAGTGCACAAAAGCTCCTTCCCAGCAGGCAGGCAGGATTAATCAAAAAAAACAGGGCAGCAGAACAGCAGTGAAATCTAAGCTGGTATTTTTCACTTCCTTGAGGAGACTTCTCTTGTTTATAAATAAACATGGTCTCTTGAGTCAGCTGGGGGAGGTGGGGGGAAGGAAGGGGCCTAGGGCAGCACTGGCTGTTAAGAACTGTTAAGACCTCCAGGGTGAGCCTGGCCAACACCCCTGTCTCAGAGACCAGGAGTGGGGCCCCAGGGGGAGTTGCTCTGAGGGCTCTGATGGTGGGTGAGACCAGCACTGGGACTAGAACCCAAGTTTGCTGACTTCCAGCCCAACATCTTTCCTCTCACAACTCAACTGCAATATTTACCCAGCTCCTACCCTGTACCACGCCACAGTGCCAGCAAATAAATCCTCAACCAACCTGAACCCTCCATTAACGGGATCATTTTTCTGCATTCCACTTTTTAAAAGCAGGCTCCAAAGAAAAGCAAGCTATGTTTAAGAATTTATGGTCTTTTCTTTTTTTTCCATTTGTTTTGCAACTGTTGGGGAACATCTTGAGGACAACTCACATTCCTTAAAGTCTCCTCTACTTGAACATCCCTGACACAGGGCACACAGACTTCAGGCTCCAAATCACAGTCTTAGGACATAGTCGGACCTTCAGCCATCAAACTAAGACTCTGTTCTCAACATCAGACTGTACTTTCTAAAAACTAACATTTTTAGAAGATGTGCAATGTGGAAAAAAAGGGTTTTTTTTTCCTTGCATAGCTATCAGTTATTTAGAAAATTTGTTGAATTAGGACTCTCTTTTTCCCCATGCAGTGAATTGGAGTTTTGGTACTAACCCCAAGAGTGGTGAGAAGCTCTGGATCCATTTAGCCAACATTCTGGGCCTCGGCCAAAATTCTGTCCAGAGAAAATGAGGCAATACCTGCTCCTTGGAATAAATGCCTCAAGAGACTACATTCCCCTCAAGAAGCCACAGAGCAACCTGTGTGTGTCCCCTCCAGGGCACATGAACATACTCCCCCCATTCTGAAATTCATTCGTGCCTAGGCCTTGAGTTGTTCGTAAAGACACGGTATTTTAAAGGAGGCAAGCAGGCCAGTCCTAAATGACCTACCATGTTCCATGTAAATATCAACCAGGCCCTAACAAGGCCAACCTTGCTACTGCACGAAGTATCTCCTCCTTAATTCTTCCTAGGCTGAGCCAAGGGAGTTAGAAGGAAGACAGCTGGCAAGACAGCAGCGTCTCAAGTTGGCCCTCACTCCACCAGCTTTGCGCTGTGGGTCCAAGCCTGTCCTGATGCCCACTAACCTCCATCCCCAGGGGATAACACTGGCTGGCTCCCCCGCTTATCCCAGTGCCTCTGATCTCCTTCAACACAACCCACCTTTACTGAGCGCACTCAGGTGCCAGGTACTGCAAAAAGAGCCTTGAGAGGGCACGAGAGGTTGGAGAGGGAAATAAGCCACAACCACTGCCCTAAAAACGCTCAGAGCTGATGGCGACACAGACATCTATAATCACTGGCTGGCTGTCTCTAGACGCCATTGGCTTGTCTTGAGGCCTCTGGCTGGAAGGAAGACACTCTCTCTCCATCCTCAGAACACAGTGATAGGTCTTCCTTAAATCTCCTTTAATGTGACGCTTACAAAACCATGAAAAGATTGCTTATAGGAAATGGGACTTGTGGACAAAATTGTAGGACACCATATCAGAGGTCTTGGGAGCTTGAAAGAGATTCATTTAGGACAACTGTCAAGGACAGGCAGAGGTGGAAAGGGCATTGGACCAAAAATCCAGAGCCTGTTTTCTTCACCAGCTCATCTCGTGTCCTTGGGCAAGGCACACACCCTCTGCAGTTTTACAGATGAGGGGACTGCTGGATCAGTGGTTTTCATTAGCAGTAAAACCCATATATTTTCCAAATATATAGAACCCCAATATATAAAACAAACAAAAGGGGAGTTGCTCATGTTGAATCAGGGCTGGGGAGCCCAGAGCCCAACCAGTTAGGCTGGGCGGCCCTCAGGGAAGGCAGTTCGAAAACTGCAGGAGTAGATAAAGTCTGAGGGCCCCTTCTAGAGCTCTTACACCCTCTCTTAAGTACCTTGGAGGACAAAAGGAGGAAATCATCATTGATTTGATGCACTCCATGCTGCTTGGCAATTTATGTATCATGTGTCATTGAAATCTTTGCAATAGCAACGTGAGGTTAACTAGCTTGTGAACTAGGATCCCTTGTGATCTGAGCTGTGAACTGGGATCTGCTGGCAAGAGGCAGAACTGGGACTTGAACCAAGCGCTTTCTGACTCCAAATGTGGTATTCTTACTCTTTGCTAAGAGGTTTGTGGGAATTTGGGCTGAACTGATAATTTCCCTGAATGGTAAATATATGTGCATAAATGCATTGGGAAAAACATCTTGAAGAATATGCCTCTCAAAATTATCATTTGCTATCTCTGTGTGTTAATAATGTGGATGATTTTCAGTCTATTTATCCATATTTTCTAATTTTCCTATAATGAACAAGGTATTATTTACATGAAACAGGTAGTGCTTATTAGAGTGGTTTTAATAATTCACAACCGACACTTCCATGTTGGGTTTCTATAGAGAATTAGGGATTGGGGGGATAGGCGGTATCTTTGACCTTTTGGAGTTGACAGTGGGAATAACAACTCCATATTCCACAAACTCTCCCTTGGGGCAGAGGGTCCCCAGCTGACCTAAGGGGTAGTTCTTATGGTCATTTAAGTTCTCTGAAGCCCCACTTCTGGGGAGTATGGTTGTTTTAGAAAGTAACAGCAAGTCCCTGAGGCCCCTCCCAAATATATGCCTCTCCTCTCCAACCCCCTCAGCTGCCTTGTATATAAGGGAGAGGGTGCTAATAAAATTACTGATGGTCACATGGACCCCAGACCAGAAGCCCTCACTACCCAGTGCTCCTGCCCCAGCCCAGGAGGATCTATACAGAGTAAGCCCTCCAGCCAGGTCAATTAAACTCTCCGGCCCCACCCTGAGGCCCCCCAGAAGCCACTTGCGAATGTGAAAATCAGAGCAATACTTCAGGGGAGAAAATACCACCCTGAAGGCTTCAGTCAGGCCTGGGGTGGGGCAAGGCGTGTCAGCTGCTTCCCTGCATTATCATACCAGCTCTGCCCGCAGAAGTCTTCTAAAATATTTAACATGCCACCCTGAGGTACAGCACAAACCTCCAGCAGTCTGCATGGAATGAACTTGGGGGCTGAGAGGCATATACACTGGCTTTGGGAGGAAAGCCCAGAACGGTGGGCAGGATACAATGCTGAGAACGACTTCAGAAGGCTGCCTCTGACTGCTTCTTTGGAAATCAGTAAAGGATAGGAGATGGGAGATGTTTCAAAACGTGGGGCGTGATGGTGCACAATCAACCAGAGTCCAGAATTTCTCTTTGTCAGACAAAGAAAAAACCTGAGGTGCACCATTGGTCTGGTCCCCAGACCAATTTCAGCCCCGGCTCCCCTGAGCAGGTGGCAAACCTGTCCTGACTCTGGCAAGAAAGGTTAGTGAAGAAGAGGAACTGGGACAGCCACGCCTATCTCCAAAGGCAAATAAATCCACGAGGGAAGGAGCTCTTCAAGGTCTTCTCAGCTCTGGGGCTTGACAGAGAAAAACGCCCCCCACGCCCACCCGCAATGACTTCACACAGGCCTCACCCGAGATGACTCTGCGCTCTCCAGCAAGGCCTGGGAGGTGTCATCACCACCATCCGGGTGGCTGTCTGTCACTTGGAAATTTCTCGTGAATTCCTGGAGATGCCTGCCCCTATCTCTCCCTCAAACCCCCGCCAAAGGAATCAGACATGTGGACGCGAGGCGTCTACCCCAAGATTCATATATGTCCTCCTAGGTCCTTCACTTGCCTTTGCCGCTGTCAATTTGAAAAACCCAAAAAGGAGTATTTATTCAACTCCATGAGGAGCCCCGCCTCCATCTGGCCACCCTTCTCCGCGCTGACCCCTCCAGGCAGCGCCCCAGGCTCGCTGGGCTCGGTCTGTCATTTTCACCCGACAAAAGCGCGGCGGCGCGGGCGACCCCAGCCAGCGTTTCTCCCAAGGGAGAGAGACGCGCGTCCTCGCGGCGCGCCCATTCGGGGCCTCCGCAAATCCCACCCCGGGGGAACAAAGCGGCCCGGGCGCGGCGAGACGCAGCGCCCCCGGAGCCCCGATGCGCCCGGGCCCGGCCCCGCAGGGCAGCGGCCGCCGCGCCCTGTGCCGCCCGCTCGCCGGCGTCCGCGGCAGCTACTGTACCTGCTAAATTTAGCGGCCGCGGGGTATTAATAGCCGGAGAGAACGGGGCCGGGTGCTGCAGGGGCGGCGCGCAGCCGGGGGCCGGGGGCGGAGAAGCAGGGGGAGGAAGGCAAGCAGGGAAGAAGGCCACTTACACCACCAGCCTGGAGATGATCCATGACACCATGGCGGGCGGGCGGGCGCGGCCCGGGCGGGCTGCTGAGCTGCGGGCGGCTGCGGCGCTCCAGGCACG